GAGTTTTCCTCTGTTTTTATGTCTGATGAGAATGGGTGTAGATGGGGAAAAAGTGCAATATTTTAATCACAAACATTAATGAGCAGGCTATGTTGTGAATTCAGATTCAGAATTCAGACTGTGGTCTGTAGTGACACCTAGTGGCGTGGTGGTAAACCGCACATAAAAAGGTGTCATGAAAACCTTACTCTTCATCAGTCTGCACACACTTGTCCAGCTCGATGACATGGCTGCCGATGAACCAGACCAAATTGGAGAAGTACGGCACGGCCGTTTTGTCCCGGATGTAGTGTAGCATGTGCTGGTTGTCCACTGGGGGGCAGGACCAAAAGTAAACAGGGTTACTCACAAACAGGCAGAGAGACAGGAAACAGTGACGTGGGAAAGGAACTGTTAGGTTTAGTATAACTAATAACACTAATAACATACTGACGGGTGGTCTTTAAAAAGCAATAGAGGTTAATTACAGAGCAATGTGCAATGTGATTGGTCAGATTTTGGAGGGATATGTTAAATGACACTCCCTAAGCAGAGTCACTAAGCGGAACTAGGTTGCATTATATTTGATCCTAGGCAATAGACAAGTCCTGTACTAAGCATGCTGAGATTATAAAATGTTGTGAAATGTATCGAAACTTATAAAGGCTCACTGTGCAATAAATAGTAACAAATTAATAGGGTTCTCAGTGGTCAAAAGTCTATCTAGGATTATGGATGCTATAATGATCAGTTGCTCAATGAACCTCCAGCATCTTTTTTTTTTTTTTTTTAAGAAATTAAATTAGAACACAAACATACAACTGATACTGCCAAAAACCACCATAAAAGACAAACAACAGGGTTTAAATAAGGGCACCAATGTGGGACAGTGCAAACAAGTGTATTTTTTAACCATTATCAGTGTGTGCATTTTAAACCTGTGTACACACAGACAAAAGAAGCAACTGCGTTTAAAAAAAATTCAAGAGAACATGCAATACAAGTGGCACAAGAAAGTTCTGAATTTGACCAACTTACATGACACTGGAATAAGGCACACAGGAGTCACCATAGAAGGAGAAGGGAAGAACAGACAAAGGGTTAAACAGGATGAAGGGACTGAGCTAGTGGAGCTTTGGGCCCTAGAGGCCAAAAGATGGAACCATCACACCACCTAGTGGCAGGTATTAAACCTGCACAATAGAGCATCTGGAACCAAGAACAGCCTAAAAACACCAAATATATCAACCAGATGCATGAAGCTGCCAGGACATGCTAAAAAGCAAAGCATACCACCCAACTACTTATTCTGACGATCAGGGATTTTAACTGCATTGTTGCAGATAATTCAGTGCATTTATATAGTAATTATGCATGTGATCTGCCATATCAAGAAAGCCACAGAAAGTACTTCAACATTTAAGCAACACTTAAAAATGTATGAATGTTATTGTATTACATAAAATATTACAGCTATATGGTGCACTGCAGTCATAAACGTATCAGCAGACTCGGATGTTATTTTTTATGTTGTGCGTATTGATCCAATAAATTAAAATGAGGCTGATATTTAAGACAATAAATTACAGACAAGTCCAGACAAGGGTGACCACGTTATTTCTATTTGGCTTACGTATTATTACAAATAAAATAATATAAAACAAACTGTTAAAAAATATTTTAAAATATTTTTTTATCCATGGAACAAAGACATTTTCTATATTATTTTTTATTAATTATCTTTATTGTAGAAGTTATATTCTTCTTTTAACATTAATACAAGACATTTAGCCATAAATGAACAATATTTATTTGCGTTTGTGTGATTGTATGTAACTGTCTATAATGTCTTTACGCTGGAAAGTACTTTAAATGTGCTATAGAAATAAAATTTGTACTGTATTGTTGTATTGTAGGCATGTGTAACTTCTGTTTAAATTAGTTCAATGATGCAGTTTCCCACTGTACATGTTTTTTGGTGTCATTTGAAGCACGGAGATCTAAACTTTTCAGATGAGTGCTTTTTTTGTAATCAGTCTGACAAAATGTAGATTGATATCTAATAATAGCCAATATATTGGTTATTGGCTTCAAAATACTATTAATAAAATTTTTTGATTTAGACATATTATCCATGTAGGTGCATCCCAATAAAATATTACACCAACTAGCTTTTATAAAAATAAAAAAAAAGATTTGCAAAAGGTTGCTTATTCAATGCAATGACATTTTAACACTTAAGTGTTGTTTACATCTCCAAATCTTATTTAGGGCCATTGTTTGCACATTAACGTCAGAAACATGCACCGATGGCAGTTTGATCTAAACTACAACAATCTCCATAGGGATCAACTGATTAGCTGTAAGACGAACAACAATTCAAGGGCAAGTGCCAAGCAGATAGTAAGAAATGTTAAGTCAGTTATTCAAGAAGGGAAGAAGGATTTATATACAAGCTTAAGCCAGAGAAATAGATCAACGAAAGCCCTTTTGTCTTGAGCACGTGACCATACCCAAGAGAAACCCCAGTGTGCCCGTGCATGTGTGTAGAGTCAGCAGCCATCACTAAATGTAAGTGTGAGTTACTCACAGATGGCAGAGAGCAGCGTCAGCATGCCCATGCATCAGAGGCATGACAGAGTGATTGACAGAAGAGAGGAGGATCAGGCGGCAGCAGCAGCTGAGTTAGGGCTCTACTCACCTTTGTACACATTGAGTGTGATAGTCCTGACCGCGATCCTGACCATGCTTTCTGGGTGGTTGAAAAACTTAATGGCCTCCGTGTACAGGGCAAAATCATTAGTGTGCTAGAAGCGTGGGAGACAGAGAGTGAGGCCGTCAGCGAGGAGGATTAGCTCAGAGAGAGGAGAGCTGCAACTGGTGACATTAAACAAAACCTGTACGCTTATTCACTTGTGAATCCAGGATTGTCTACAGAGCAGAAGAAATGGGCACATAACACCACTGACACTGAAAATGCAATGCTACTGGGTATTAAACTGGCTTAAAATGTGTCAAATTAAAATTCTTGTTGTAGTTCATACAAACACAGCACATCAATAAAGTTGTCACTCCTCTCCTCTTTTTT